TTCTCGCTTCTTCTTAACTCGTGTTAAACACTCTTTTGCCAAATCTGCTTTTGCTTTTTCTGGCCCTTTTCTCTGGAACTCTCTACCTACTTTTCTGACTACTTCTCCATCATTTACGAAGTTTAGAGCGGATCTCAAGACCCATCTGTTTTCAAAATTGATTTAGGAGCGCTGTTGAACATCGCGGAAATAGCACTTTACAAGCTAATTGATTGATTGACTTAAAATGAAACGTGGTCGTTGACCTAGAAGAATGTGCACGCGCTATATACTGTCCATCGGTTCTAGCCATTCACCAAAACCTAAACTACCAAAATACCTATGCGCCACCTCTGCCCAATTGAAACCCGACGCCATCGCTTCTCTCGCTTCCAGTACCAGTGTAAAGTACCTGCTATATCGAAATCTCAGCCTATTAGTATTCTAAAAATATGGTTATTAATATATATGCTGGACCAAGCAAATTTAAACTGAAATTTCTCTAAGGTATCACTCAAATTAAAGACTCTACTGGAAGAGAAACAATGACTTCACATATCTATTATAATTGATGCAGGGAGACAATTCCAGTACGTGATCTTTTAAAGCGTAAAATTGGTGTAATGATGTAACTACTAGGTCGACGCTCAAACCAGTTTCTTTATTTCTTTTGTTTCAGTTTCGATGTGTAACTCAGCGACTGGAACCTTGTCATATAATTACTGAAGCTTTTTTAAAACTTTCTATCCTATTTTGTATAAATATTAAGCTCTACATTCCAATAATGCGTTTAGTTCTTTTGTTTATTTAGCTCAATGTTTATAAATAAACTTTTAAAGAATTATACTTTAAAATTGTCACAGACGTTTGCGTCGTTTGTTACGTTATAATGCATTTTAGCTATCGCAGATATTCTTATCTTAAAGTTCTCCTCTCTGCACCATAATGCATGCGTAACATCAAACGATCCTCTTAGTTTCAGTAACAAACACGACAAAATGGCAAAAATGGACATGGGAAAATTGGGAATCGCCAAAATTACGAAAAGAAACAAAATTTTTCACACAATCCAGAACTTTTCCAAGTGCGAATATATAATCAAATCATCACTTTGTGTTGCACGGTATTATTATGGAGATAAAAAAAATTAAATAAAAATAGGTAAAAGAATGTATAGCAAGAAACAACACAGATTAAAGATAAAAAATGAAATAAAAAATACACCAATCAAAGCGGTGGTCTAAGTTTTTTTAGCAAGCGACTGAAGCGCATTATTGTTATTACAAGAAGACAAAAAATGCATGTAAATACATCTGAATCAACGCATCATAAACTTTTGCGTGTGATAGACGGGGATCTCTTTACATTCAAACCTGGATACTGGGACAGCAATGCCAGGCACTGTAACCACTACACCATCGTGCCGCCTAAAGTAATGATTGGCAGATATTGCTGTCTTCGTTTCCTGCACCAACTATATAGATTAATGGCGCTAATATCATTTTTCTTCAAGTAGTTTATGGCGAGAAGAATACAACAGTGTTCTAATATTTAACTACAAGAATTGCAATAGAGAACGTTGATCTGAAAGTTGAGCCGGAAGGCTGGCGCCAATATATTCAATTCACCAGTTTTGTCAATCACCCAAACCTAATCTGTAAAAGCACCCCAGCATGTGTGATTTCATTGACACTCTTGCCTCCAGCAATGTTTATAATCGGACAAATACAACAGGTAAGGCCATTACGAGATAACAGCACAAAAGGATGCTACAAAAATTTTAGTTATAACTAGGGAAACTTATTCTGGTGAAGGCCAGACTTTTGGATCTTTGTACGTCAACTAGTACTTTTCCAATGTAGTCCAAAAAACGACTTTTGAATTTGTATTAGTTAGAAAAGAGCGATTCATAACATTTTTTTTATCTTGAAATTGACAAACGTTTGTAATCCTAGTCAAAAGCATCACCACTACATAAATTACCTATTTAAAAATAATTAAAAAACAAACGGTACATTTTGAGTGAGATCCACTAAAAATATATCAATACTATCGATCAGTAAATGCATAAAAAATTATTAATAGGTATACTAAGTACGAAAAAAGTTGCAAATACAAAAACAAATAAATTTAAAAAGACAAACATTTGTTTTCAAATAAAATAACAGCATATATATATAACTAATATGTAAACTACTACTACGTATGTGTATATATATATATATATATATATATATATATATATATATATATATATATATGCGTGTGAGCGTGTGTTTTTGTGTGTGTGTATATTTTTCCATTTAATTAAACAAATAAATCAATCAATATTTTGTAACATTAATATAAATATACCAAAAAACTATTAACTATATAGAGGAATTTGCTTGCCTAGCGAAATTCATAAAGATCTGCTCAAGTTTTGTCTGATTTATTGAAAAGTCATCTATTAGGGACATTGATTTTGCTTGAGACAACACTTTAAAAATAAACGACAAATCGTTGAAAGATGCTGGTAATCGAAATTTAGCGAAGTTCAAATGACGTTCAAGCAGTTTTGTTTCTGGAAAACTTTTTAAAATAAAATCCGTAATCCTTTTAAAATTTTCATCAACATTAACGATTTCTTTTAATTTGACATCAATCGTGTATCCTTCATTGAATTTATTTTTTAGATGTTGAATAGTTCCTATGCATTTTAGCTCTCCTGAAACCATGATCGTCAAACGGTTGCAAAGAAATTCACACTCTTCTAAACTGTGAGATGTTAATACTACTGAGTGGCCAGCCCTGACAGTGCCGACAATTGATTCCCAAACATATTTCCTAGCTTTTGGATCAATTCCTGCTGTAGGTTCATCGAGGTAAACTACATCAGGATTTCCAATCAAAGCTAAAGCTATTGACAATTTTCTCTTGTTCCCACCAGATAAATGCATAGCAAGTGTATCTTTGTAAGCCAACAAATCCAAGTTTAAATATGCCCATTCACATATTAACTTTACATTTTCAGAAGGTGCACCTCTTAGTTTGGAAAAATGAACTAAGTGCTCTTTGACTGTCATCAAATTACAAATCGCATCAAATTGAGGACAATAGCCAAACAGGTTTTGAGCTTTTTGTGTATTTTTTGAAAAATTAGAACCTCTCAAAAAAATATTTCCTGCGCTCGGATGAATGTCTCCAGTTAGCATTTTAAATAATGTCGACTTCCCAGCTCCATTTATTCCCAAAAGGCCAAAACACTCTCTCTGCAGGACACCAAATGTTACATTGTTAACAGCTAATATGGAGTTAGAGTTTTTTCTAAAAAGGGATCGGTGTTGGTAATATTTAATTAAATTTGTTACAGCTAAAACGTTATTACTCAATGGCTCACTAAAAATTCTTTTCTCTTCATTCAAAACGTCTTCATCCGTGCTGTTTGTAACTAATCTAGCACCCAATCGAAATTTATCATTCTTACAACTTGAATTTTTATGGGACAGGAATTCGGCAACCAAAAAAGACGTTAGAGATAAGCATCCAAAAATAAAAAGAGAGCAGATGAATTTTCCTACCGCGTGAAAAGCAATGGGATTAGTGTATTTGACGCTGTCTTCGCCGAATAGCATAACCTTAGCATTATAGTTAATATAGTTGCTACTCATTTCTATCAAACCTCTGGACAAACAAAACTGTGGTATAAATATAAACAATGTCTGAAAGAAATCGCTCCAATCTTCATCAGTTGGGATAAAATCAATAACAAAGGTGACTATTGTGGGTACAAGACCAAAAAGAAAATAAACGCCAGAGAGAAATATGTAGCCAGTGTTGGAATCCGTGAAAATCCAGATAAAAAAATAGGTCAAAGGAATAACAGCCCAACCGTACGTAAGTGTTAAAATAGTAAACGTAAGCATATTCTGCTTCGAAACAAACTCTTTTGCATTGAAAATGATGAATATTAAAATAAATATTAGACAGATGGATAAAAACATTAAAGTATCCCAGACGAAATTTGAAATCCAATATAAAGTTGAATTCAGTCCACTTATATATTGCAAATGCATCGAACCACTATTTTTTTCTTCAATTAAAAAAAATAGAAAACTAGTTGGAATAATGGTAAGAGCAAACAAAATAACAACAGGCGGAAGAATTTCCAAAATCTTTCTGCTTTCAAGCCGCTGCTCAAAAGTGGCATTTAAAGGATGAGAATAGACTACAATTCCTATCTTTTTAGAGGAAACATTATCATATTTAGATCGAAGTATAGCATTGTGAACGACGTTTGAATACGCAACAATTGCAGTAGGTGAATCATGACTGTACCAAACTATTACCACGTCGTCGGTCACCAAATGAGGGCAAAAACCTTTCAAATTACTCTTCAGAGAAACCGAAACGTTGGAAGAATTAGTTATTTGAAGTCCTTCGAGTATTTTATCGGTAAGATTCAAAATGTTTAGCAAATTATTCAAAATGTTGATTGAAACTGAATAATTAAACGGATTTGTAGAGTAAAATTCAATACCCGCAAATCTAGTTTTTGAAAATTTGTGCTGAGTATCTACCAAATATTGTTGTATATTAAAATGAGTTAAATTCTGAAACACATCATCATTGTTAATTTTTAATTGTGGAGGAGGTTCACCTGAAAAAGAATCAGAACATTTTTTATAACCAGCCTTGCAACTACAAGAAATATTAAACTCTGGATTTTCTGGAGATATCAGAAAAGTGAGATTTTTGTATTTTTTGCGATAACAGTCGAGATTATTAATTTTATGAATTTTCGGATCCAAACACCTATTACCCATTCCAGGATTATTCAATAAAGATAGTTCCATGTCCCGCGAGTCCCAGTTTAAATTTTCATTCCTGGATAAAAACGAAGTCAAATGTAACTGTTTGGACTTTATTAACCATGGATGAATTTCAACACTTGGCTCATCTGTGGAAAACTTGAACCGAAAATTTGTTATGAACATCGTCAAGGCAACAAATAATGGTGGAAGAATTAACTGACAAAAAATTGTTTTAAAACTTCGTTTTGAAAAATAATATCTTTTAACAATTAATGACCAAAATTGGAGAAACAAAAATATAAAACCAGAATGAGGCTTTATTTCAGGACAAAATTTGAAACGAGAAAATTTTGATGATAGATCTGCTTCTTCAGGGAGAGGTTCTGAATTCTTGTTAACTTGAAGAAACACTTGTTCCAGCGTTGTATCAGATAATCCATAGTTCACAAATTGCAAACTCGATTTACTTAAATCTAAATTCTTGAATAAGTTGTTAAATTTATCTACTTCAGAATATGGTAAAATGAATACAAAGTTGTAAAAATTGTGTGTCGACACATCAGGTTCTGCGTTGGGCACAAACTTTTTTATAAATTCAATAAAAACATCCATCTGTTTTTCTCTCTCTTTCTCATTTTTGAAATATTTATCAAAACTTATATCTAGGTGATACCCTTTACCAAAATGTTTTTTAAGAAACATTATTGAACCAGAGGCAAGCACCTGTCCCTTGTTAATAATGATCAACCTATCACTGAGTATATCAGCTTCGTCCATCAAATGGGTTGAGAGTATTGTCGTTCGATTGTTTTTGTATTTCTGAATGAGATCCCATATGGATCGTCTGGCATACGCATCGACGCCGGCAGTTGGTTCATCCAGCACTACAACGTCTGGAGACCCGATGTACGCTACGCCAACAGAAAGCTTCCTCTTCATGCCTCCTGACAAAAACGAAGAATTCACATCCCTCTTATCAAACAAATTGAGATCCATCAAAATTCTGTTGCATTCACTTTTTATTTCCTTTTTTGGTAACCCTTTCAGCATTGAATAAAACAAAAGATGTTCCATTACAGTGAGATCGTCATACAATATGTTGTGCTGAGGACATAGACTTATGATTTTTCGAATTTCTTTAATTTGTGTTTTTACGTCCATGTTATTAACATAAACTGTACCACTTGAAGGACCATATAAGCCTGTTATTATAGACAATGTCGTCGTTTTACCAGCACCATTGTGACCCAAGAAACCAGTGACATGGTTTTTGTAAAATTCTGCATTTAAATTATTAACAGCAACGAACTTTTTGAACTTTTTGACTAAATTAACTATAGAAACACCAACATCTAAGTTATTAACTTTTAGCTCGTTACTGATCTGAGTGAGTTCGTCCATATCAATTGCGTTTCTGATACTACTGCTATTATTTTTATTTTTTCGAAACATAAAAATCCATTCAACTGGAAAATACCAAGGTTTAGCTATCCCATAGTTGCCTGGGAACACAGCATCGACATAAAGTGTGACCACAGTATGCAATATAATATCGACCATTATCATTAAAAGACAAAATCCAAAATTAAATTTATCGTTAACTTCGGGACTTCTGAAAATATTGCTCCATTGTATTCCTTCTCCCAATGCTTCATACTTTGCAGAATATGAACAAGCAAAACCAAATGCTGAAGTGAAAGAGAAACATGCTATCAGTTTTGATGCAAAAGGCATTGAATCTTGAAAACTTTGACAGAGTCTATAAGGAAGAAATAAAACAAAATAGCAAATTGCTGAAAAAGCAGCTGCAGTATTGGAACGACTAAAAAAAACACTATACATAAAACATTGAGTTATAAGTGCAATCATAAAAAACATCATTAAAACAAATAGCAAGGAAAAACTTGCATTAGGCAGAAGATCACCAAATTTGAGTAAAAAACACAACAAAAATATTGGAATTAAAACTAAAAGAAAGAAATGAAGGAACCAAGCCAACCATTGAATACCACTGCCCAATCCCATAATTTTTATGAATTCACTCAATTTCAACTCTTTTTCTTTAACAATGTCCTTTACAATTATTGGCACAAGAACAAGCCAAGATACAACCATAAATAGAGGAAGCAATCTTATAAATATATTGATGAAAATATTTTCAGTGTAACAAGGGCTAGGAAATTGTTGTAAAACGGTTCCTACATTATCTTCACCTAAATATATCCTGATTAATGCATGTTCTATTATGTCCTGCAGATACACAAAACCAGACTTTAGAAAACTTGGAAGTATTCTGGGATTGAATTGCAAATTTGAAAGTTTTGTTTCACCCTCCAAATTCAATTTGTATGCTAAATCTATAAAATCTTGATCAAGTCTTATTTTATATTTAACTAATGGAATGTTTGAATTATTTTGTTGGATGATGTCAAAAACGAGACCTGCTAGAAACGTTTTGTTATCAATTAACTGGAGAGCTAATTTTGTTAATGAATATTCATCTGGTACTGCAACAAATCTATCATATGAAAAACAATTCAGTAGCTTCATTGAAATTTTTAGCAGGTCAGTAATATTGGATGTATGAAAATCCTCTTCTAGAAATTTTACTAATGATGTTAAAAGGTTTGAACTACTTAAATAACTAAATAAAGGCGTAACAATTTTCAATTCTTCATAAATGACATTATTTTTGAAACTGTCAATCATTATGAAAAAGTATCTTTCAAAATTTTCAAGAAAAAATTTAATTTCAAACAGGTTTGTGAAAAAACTTTTGGCTTCACTGATAATTTTATTTATATCATCGTTATCAGGTGTATATAGAATTTTCCCATTGAACAAAGGTTGAAGTAATTTTAACCTATTAGAGAAAAAGCTGCAGTTGTTTGAAGTTTCATCAGAAACATTAGAAAACCTTTCTATGATGTTTTTTTCCAGCTGAAGATGTCCTCTTGCATTTAAATATTTCATCAACGAATTGTCAACTATATGACTGAAAGGTCCACACAAAACGGTTCGAAACTGAAAAGAATCACTCCTGTTATCAAGTTTTGATGTAAATAAGTTAAAAACATCTCTTGTTGAATTTAATAATGAGAAACTGTCGTTTATTGCTCTAATTGTTTGAAATACACCCAAATATTCAAAATAATCCTGCAGTGAAAACACTTTAGTGAACATTGGCAAAAAACTTAACGATGTTGTTCTCCAGTTTATGTTTAAAAAATAAGTTTTAATAATATCATCAAAATTATTTTGACATATTTTATCATTATTGATGTCTGAATATGATTTGTTTCCATTGAAGAAAACCACTTTATTATCACAAATTACATTTTTTAAATATTCAGAAAAATTATCTTTAGATTGGCTGTAATTTGCTAATGTTTCATATAATTCCTTCAAATTTATTTCACTTGCATTTAAAAATTCAATTATAAAATCAGAATCTGATAAATTGAGTTTTTCTAACATTAAATTCATACTTGTGGAATTAACATCTGGCCTGATGAATGTATCCATAACATCCAAAATCAAATTTTTCTTGGTTTTTATTGTAGTTATTACAACTCTCAAGTTCTTAGCAATATCGAGCTTATTCAAACTTTTTGTTAAAAGTTCAATTTCAAGCAATACTTCTCGATATTTACCAGAAATAAATATACTTCTTAGTTCATCTTCAGCATTCCAATCAGAATCATTTTTAGTATAGACCTGCAACCCATTTTTAACATATTTGAAACACGGGGTACTTGTATTCATGGAGCAGTAGAAACTTCGAAAAAAGCTGAAAATGCCAGCAGATGGTAAGGATCTTTCTTCGAAGAAACAGTCTTGCGTTTCATTGATCAACGAATTTCTAAAAGATGCCTTGATAAGTATTAAAACGATAAACAGAAACAGAGGCCAAATTATTTCAGCACACAACTGAATTCGTTTCTTAGATCTAAGTCTAAAATTTTTCCAGAGCAACGTCTTCAGTTGGTAGATGAACGACATGGCAACATGCGATCGATCGAACACACTGGAAGACGAACTAAACACTCAAACGGTTTGTACAGAGAACGCTCGCTCAGTCAAACTTCAGAAACTCATTCATCTCATTTACTACGATCATCTGCAACGATAATCTATGGGAACAATGAAGAAACGATTAAAAGCAAACTTTCTCAATAAACGAAAGAACATAACTTATATTGTTGCATAATTTTATCATTTAATTTTATTTTAAGCAAATGATAATATATTATAAATTCTAAATAATTTATTTTATATACTAAGAATATTACACTATATTTTATATTTGTTTATACTTTTATTCACCTTTATACCTGATATTTAATATGTTAGATGTTGTATAATTATTAAATATAAATATGCAATATATACCTATATTGAAAAAATTATCTTGAAATATGCAGCAAGTATAATATAGAAATCCTTTGTTCTACAAAAAAATGTATTTACACACACGTGTTAATACATATGCTACAATGCTATATATATATATATATATATATATATATATATATATATATATATATATATATATATATATCATAGACACCTTAAAATAAGAATAACAGCACTCTTGCTTGGTATTTCAAACTTGGGTTCATAGTGAAACTTTGGTTCACTTTGTATTGAAGACAAACCACTTCATTCACTCCTACTCTTTTTCCCGATCGCTTTTATCAAAAACTTTAGTTTTCATCAACAAACAAGTCATTGTTCTACAAGCCATTCTGTCATTAGAAACTGGAGCATCATTATATAACAGTAGTTTAGTTATGTAAACTCTGCAGTTATGTTTAAGCGTTGCCAGAACTGACAAGATGTACTGCGCTATGAAGAAAAAAAGCAGTTGACAATATAGGTTGTGTAAGACTGCTTTGTTCCTTTATAAACTCAGATGAAAATGTTGCATCAGTCGCTTCATTTTCAATGTCGTGCACAACAATGGAAAAATTTTGTGACAGCCAGCTATGATGATGACTTTATGTTTCAATGTGACATCAGGTTGCAATAATAATTCTGTGTCGTCAATACTAGTATAAGTACACATTCAATGTCCACATCTTTCAGAGTTTGGCTGTGAAGAGCACATTGTTTAAACAAGGAAGCTCTCTTATGACCACCGGGTACTACAACAAATTTTGTTAGTTGCTGTAAATGTAGACGTTGAACCTTGGCAGCGACCAGAACGTCAGTGATATTGATGTAGAAATTTCTACCGCACCATTGCCTGGTGTTGCCAAAAAACTTTTTAAAAGTATTCTGACTAAATGCTGAAAACAGCAGCAATACTGAATTTGGTCGTCGTCATCTGTAAAAGTTGCGAGCATGCACTCTAGTACACCAGGCTCATTACAACGGCTTGCAATGACAGGCCTAAGAACTTCTGAAAGCTGTCACACTTAAGTTGCCATAATGTTTTGGTGGCGTTACAAAGTTTTACAGCATTATACCGGTCTTTGTTATTCATCATCTTAAACCACGCAGTCACAAGATTTATGAAACGTACTGCGCCTCTTTCTACGTGCAGTTTTTTTTTCAAAATAAGTAACGCTGCTATCGTCTTTTTATGGAAAGCTTGCAGGGTTGTGGGATGTACTAATGAGTAAGTTTTGTGAAACGTATTACTGTCACTCTCTTTTCTTCGTACAGGGGCTTTCAAAGCACAGCAGTGTGCAACAAATCTCTGACCGTCGTCAATACAATTTATATCTTGGATTGCCTCACTGATTCGGTTATTTCTAATGTTTTTGAATAGAATACATGCACATGCACATAGTCATGGCCTGGAAGAGTCACCTGTACTGAGCCACCAAGGCTGTTGTACAGTGGTTGATTCATTGTGCAATTTTCACACATTATAGATATAATGCATCCACCGCTTTTCACAACGGATTCAACTGCTCTCAAGAAATAAAACCAACGTTGCTTTGCATTGATTTCAGTTACAAGAATGACACAAATAATAAAACGAAGTCCACCATGGTGGCAGATTATCTCAAAACATAACGTGACGTAGATACTTAAAGCGTTTTGTGCATACCCCATGGACTTATATTTATTTGTAATGGTAAACGAAAAAGCTCTTTTATCACTGTTCAGTTATATCCTTCACTTTTTTATTCTTATCTGTTCTACTTTGTACTGTTTTATCATAAAACCAATAGAGTATGACATTAAAATTTCAGTTGTTTTAAAACCATAAACCCAAGTTTTTTTTGATTTGTTATGAACCCATCTTTAAAATACCAAGCCAGAGCGCCTTCATTTAATGTGTCCATGATATATATATATATATATATATATATATATATATGTTGGTAATAGACCATAATTTTTACAATATTCTATAAATTCTACCAATGTTTGGCGTAATATGTTTGTAGTTAGTTTTAAACGAACTACAAACATATTAACGCCAAACATTCAGTAGAATTTATAGAATATTGTAAATATATATATATATATATATATATATATATATACATTATCATATATATATATATATATATATATATATATATATATATATATATATATATAATATATATATATAATATATATATATAAGGCCATTACGTATATAAGTTTCATTAAATTCTATCGCTATAGTATTATTTATTAGTAATTTAATAATTATTATCAAATTTATTAAAATTAATAAAAATAATAATTATAAAACTACTGGTAGGAATTTTTAAAAGCTCAGCGTTAAACTTTCAAAAGCTAAAAATTTGGTAGATTTATAAATTATTGCATCAATTATGGTCTCCTTCCAGCATATCTATATACATATAGGAGCGGTTTATAACGCGATAACCTGATCATTGGCATCAACGCTAACCTAATTATAAAGTATTTGATCTCATTGTGGCGTCATTGCAATTATTAATATCTCATGACAGGATGCATGCAGTGCACATGTACTTTACATGCAGTCAGACCTCAAATAAGCCCATCACAACACAATTTGTTTCTTCAACTGCATGAACAAATTATATTGGTGTCACGACATGTATGTATTTGTATGATAATGAAGATATGCAGGGGACACTCTTACTGACCTTCTTGGCTTTATATAATTTCTGTTATAAAAATAAAACATTTTTAAGTTGAAAACATTAATCATTAAAATTACGTTAATTTGTAAATGAAGACTGAATACGCGATCACGTTGTTTGCTGGTCCATGTCGCCATAATTACACAAATACACACACATTGCACGTGTAAATGTGTATATGACCTACATTCTCCGTAATCATTAAAATTCTATTCACTTTGTTTTATGACGAACTATGTAACATTATAGTAGGATCAAAAAATTGAAAAGTTTTAGTCATTAGGATACGAATTGCTCTTTTAATCTATTTAAGTTTTGTATAAGAAATTGCACTGAAAAAACCTACTAAAAGATAACAACAATTTTGATAATATTCTGCTTATGGGAAATTCAATTTCTGTATAAATGCTTGCCTAGAAGTGCATCATAGTGTTAAATGGCAATTTTCAGGGTGCGCTTCCATAGGAATTCAACGAGAATGGGAATAATTTACGGACATGTTGAGAATGAGGAATAAATAGAAAACCAATTTTCAGCTGGAAGAAATCTCTGATGGCAATGGAAAAATTAGAATAAAAACGCTATTTATTTCCCTCTCTTCACCTATATCATTTATACCCTATTATAAAACAGTTTGAAAGACACCTAAAATATAGGAACACTTATTAATCATTCGTCATTTGCTCAATTGTGTTTAATTTTTTCCGATGTTGGCACAACCAAAACATGCATGCGTCAAGGTCAATAATCTCCAGCAACAGAAACATGTTGTAACGTCCTGTAGTCCAATACCAGTACGCACTATTATTCTCACAATAGTGTTGGGATCCACTATGATTGTTGGTGTGCATGTTTTCCCAGCTCTTCAACGCATATACTTAGAATAATTCAAATTTTTTAAATTTCACAAAATTCTAAAACAAAAATTAAAAACACTACACATCAAAAACAGGAAATAAAATTATTTTTTGCTCAAAAAAACTTATACAAAGAATGCAATAAGCAGTTTAAATTAATTTAGAACCATAAACTGAAGTTCAAGCAATGCGGACTAATTTGTAACCTTAAACAGTAAAATTGCTGCTTATTTATGTAACGCTGTAAGTTAAAAAAAAGGCAATACATTTGAGAAAAAAGGTCCACACTTTGCACTATTTTTACATAAGAGGCTGTCCATAAACGATGTCCTCTCTGTCACAAATTTTCAAAACCCTCATATGCAGTGCTGGTAAAAGGGTTAGGACACCCTTGTTTTGTCAGTGTAACTTATGATCTAGAGAAGTATATTTATGAAACTTTCAGATGTAATAGAAAATAACATTTTAATTGTTTTTTTAGAATTTTTTTTACATACATTTATAAATGTTTATAAATTATTTTTTCGCAGTAACTTTTATTCGGGGGAAACTCCACGCTTCAGTGACCTAAGCGACAGTTAGCGGGTTATTCTCTGCATAGGCTACTATTTGGGTTTATAAACTGCAATTTGAGTGGTAACTTATCAATCAATCAATCAATCAATCAATCAATCAATCAATCAATCAATCAATCAATCAATCAATCAATCAATCAATCAATCAATCAATCAATCAATCAATCAATCAATCAATCAATCAATCAATCAATCAATCAATCAATCAATCAATCAATCAATCAATCAATCAATCAATCAATCAATCAATCAATCAATCAATCAATCAATCAATCAATCAATCAATCAATCAATCAATCAATCAATCAATCAGCCAGTCAGTCAGTCAGTCAGTCAGTCAGTCAGTCAGCTAGCCAGCCAGCCAGCCAGTCAGTCAGTCAATCAATCAAACAAACAAACAATCAATCAATCAACCAACAAACCAACCATTTAACCAACCAACCAATCTATGAATCAATCAATTAGAGTTTAAAGCGCTTTTCCGCGATGTCCAACAGCGCTCCTCAATGAATTTTGCAAAAAGATGGGCTCTGATCCGCTCTGAACTTCGTAAGTGATGGAAAAGTAGTCAGAGAAAGAGGTAAAGAGTTAAAGAGGTAAACCGGCGCGTTTAAAATCAATTAATATATTTGATAAGTACTTAGGAAATAATTTAGATTGAAACTTTTACATAAACGTGCTAATTTTAAAAATTATTCTATATTTTATAGGTAGCCAGTGCAAGAGAACAAGATATGGAAATACATGAGAAAAAATGGGGAACGGGCGACTAGGCGAGCAGCAGAGTTAAAAGCTTTACTTAAAAGATAGAGTGTAGAGAGTGCAAAAGAGTTTTTAACAAGGTTTTAGAGATGAATACAAAAAGACGATCGTAAACCGACGCGCTTAAGTTCAAATAATATATTTGATAAATACTTAGGAAATAATTTAGATTGAGATTTTTACATAAATGTGCAAATTTTAAAAATGATTCTATATTTTAATGGTATCCAATGCAAGAGATAAGATATGGAAATACATGAGAAAAAATGGGGCATGGGCGACTAGACGAACAGCAGAGTTAAAAGCTTTACTTAAAGGATAGAGTGTAGAATTAGGAAGACCATAGTAGAGCGATTTACAATAATCAATCCTAGATAAATGATGATCTTGATGATCCTACTCTTCTCCTTCTTGTTACTTCGTTAGTCTTATCTAGGATTGATTATTGTAACTCGCTCTACTATGGTCTTCCTGACTCTATACTCTATCCTTTAAGTAAAGCTTTTAACTCTGCTGCTCGTCTAGTTGCTAGTGCCCCTTTCTTTTCTCATATATCTCCATATCTTGTTCTCTTGCACTGGCTACCTATAAAATAAAGAATAATTTTTAAAATTTGCACGTTCATGTATAAGTCTCAATCTAAATTATTTCCTAAGTACTTATCAGATATATTAATTGAACCTAAACGCCCCGGTTTACGATCGTCTTCTTCTTCTCGCTTTTTCTTAACTCGTGTTAAACACTCTTTTGCCAAATCTGCTTTTGCTTTTTCTGGTCCTTTTCTCTGGAACTCTCTACCTACTTTTCTAACTATTTCTCCATCACTTGCGAAGTTCAGAGCGGATCTCAAGACCCATCTGTTTTCAAAATTCATTGAGGAGCGCTGTTGAACATCGCGGAAATAGCGCTTTATAAGCTAGTTGATTGATTGATTGATTGATTAAAACTAAAGAAGTAACAAAAAGGAGAAGAGTAGAATAAAGATAAAGTCTAGACTACGAAACTTGTGAGAAAAATCAAAAGTTTTAGAATCAGGTAAGATAATAGAAGGAACGGTAATAGAATGTTTAGATTTATTAAAACAAATTAATACAAAATTAGAAGGATTAAGTTTAAGACACATTGAGTCAGACCAAGCGATAATTGAAGAGAGACTAAGAAATAGATCATGAAAAACACTATTGAGATTAGATGGAGGAAAAGAAGTATAAATATAAATATTATCAGCCTATAGTTGACTAGTGAAAGAAAAATTATTAATAATATGAGGTAGTTCAAAAGGGTAGAGTATAAATAGATGAGGGCCAAGGATAGAACCCTGAAGTACCCCAAAAGTAAGGATAGTGTTAGAAGTAGAATTATTAAGAACAACAGAAAAAAACGATTACAAAGATAAAAAGAAAACCAAGATAGACAAAAATCAGTAATATTAAAAGAATGATCTAGCAGCCTCAATAGAATAGTATGATCAACAGTATCAAAAGCAGAGGAAAAGTCAAGAACAAGAAGCGAGAGTAAGATTACTATTGTCAACTTAATTTGAGACAAACCCCAAACTGCAGAATTTTCACTTTTTTAGGTATTAAGTAAAAAAAGACAACACATATTATAACGAGGTCCAAAGTTCGATCAAGGCAATAAATGTGAGCATGAAATACAAAAAGTGAGTAGGTCTGAAGTTGAACGCCACGTGAACGGCGCTGAAAACGTTTGTTTCGTTGCAAACTTTACAAAGCAGTATTTGGAGAGTTTTTAAAAGTGGTATGGTTCGTAAATTTCGTAAATTTCGTTTTAAATGTCTATAAATGATTTCTAACAATAGCGGATAGAACCATTAAATGATGTTGTTTTTTCTACATTTGAAAACTTTATTGTGGAAAAATGTCAAGTTGAGGTTCAGGAAACCGTTGCAGATTTTTGCTGAAATTTTGTGGCCGTTATTTTTCTTCATTTTGCTAATTATGATTAAAATTGCCTTTGGTCCGTCGATGAAATTACAGATGGAAGATTGTCATTTTGAAGAAAGATCTTTGCCTTCTGCCGGCATCTTCAATTTTCTTCGCAGTTACTATTGCTTGTGGGAATCTCCATGTTTCAGTGAAGTCAACAATGGTTTGCGGGTGATTTCTCGTGGGGACTACAATTGGACAACTGAAGATGAGTTGAGAAGTATTTTCGCTCGTGATACTTATCGATATATATTTGATGAACTAGAGTTATTTCTACACAGTGTCAATCAACTCAACATTACCTTACTGTTGCAAACTTTTAAAACTGCTATTGAAACCAGAAAAAATGTCTTTATGAACATTTCAAATATTTACATTCAACCAAAAAAAGATAACAAAACACTCATTCTTGCTAATCTAAGCCCAAGTGATGCTTATGAAGTTCAACAGCTGTTTGATGTTTTAGAAATAAATTTGAACAAGTTGTATTTAACTTTACAAAACTTTAATGATTCAGCAGAGTTGTTCTTCAGTTATTTTAAAAAAGTGGTGTGCAATGGTAGTTCGATTTTCAATACAGATGTTGACCTTTTATGTAAAAATGATGCAATCTTCATCTCTTATTTTTCATCAATCAAATGGGTCCAAATATTTTCAGATATTATCATGAAAAACCTAAAATTATTTACTAATGATGAATTGTTTGATTATTTGGAAGCATCAGCAACAATTGAAAATATAAAAAAAGCAACAGAAAAGTTCAATGTTACAGATCATGCTACACTTTCAGTTTTTACGCAGTCAATAGAAAGTGAGTTTTATCATTGGGATAAAGTTTTTTGTGGCCCAAGAGTAAGTTTAAATGATAATTCTCTGTTGAAAATGCTAATTGCAAAACACATGTTCAAAGTTGATGAGAATAAAAACAAACTTCTCTCTGAAGTTTTCAACATTTCCCAAGAAGCATTTTGTAATGAATTTTTCGGTGTTTTCAAAATAGTAAAACCTTTGTTTGTGGGAAAAATATTTTACACTGCAGAAAATCAAGATGTTATTGACATAATTAACGAGGCAAACAAGTCTTACCATATTTTATTGCACACAAAGAAGTTTTTAGCAAATTTAGACAGCATTTCCTCAACTTTTTTCAATACATTTAATGATAAAAATAATGTTGTAGTTAAAGAGTTGAAACTGTTAGGCCCCTTTTTGAAATTTTTTGGAAATTCATTTTTATTTGACTTTGTGCCAACAACCCCAACATCATATTACGTTTTGAAAAGCAAGTTGAGGTTAGCTTCACTTGTAATGAATTGCCTTGCAGAAGACAGATTTCAACAAGTTGAAAATGAATACTTATTAAAAAAAAGAGCAGTTCCTTTTATAAACAATAAAACATTTTTAACAGGTTTGGTTTTTGATTTAAAAAAATCTAGCAACAATTCAATACCATTTCTCAGTTACAAAATTATGGTTGATCATTATTTTATAAAGTTGCTGAATAAGTTTAACATGAGAGAGAGTACAGAGTTTACAATATTCCATTTGAATCCCAGGATTGTACCAGCTTTCATCCAGTCTGGATTCGTGTATATCCAAGATATTATTGACCATGCTTTCATAAAGTGGTACACGGGTGTTGATAACATAGGAACTACTTTGCAACAGTTCCCGACTCCATGTCATGTTGAAGATATTTTCCAAATAGTTCACAGTTTGTTACTGCCTTTGTTTATGGTTATTTCATGGCTTACTTTTGTGCCTATTATTGTTAAAGATATAGTTATAGAAAAAGAGTTGAAATTAAGTGAATTTATGAAAATTATGGGTCTGTCAAATTCTGTTCATTGGCTGGCATGGTTTATTCATTATTTTATTATAACTATGTTTCCTGTGTTAATGACAACTATACTTGTAAAGATTGGCAATCTACTCATTCACTCCAGCAGTTCTCTTTATACTGTCTTCATGATGATTTACATGGCGGCACTCATAACTCAATGCTTCATGTTCAGTGTGTTTTTCAATCACTCGAACACAGGTGCAGCCTTTTCAACAATATTTTATTTCATCAGTTTTTTGCCATACAAATTTTGCATAAATTTTCAATATTCCATGAATATCCATTATAAAATTATTGCAAGTTTATCTTACACATCAGCATTTGGTTTTGGATGCTCATATATGGCCAAGTATGAAGATCTAGAAGAAGGTCTACAATGGTCAAACATGTTCAAAAGTCCAGATGAAGCTGATCAATTCAATTTTGGATACTGCATGTTGATGATGATTGTAGATATAATTTTACATGTCGTCATAACACTTTATGTTGAAAGGGTCCATCCTGGCAACTATGGTGTAGCAAAGCCATGGTATTTTCCAATTGATTGGGTTGTTAATATTTGTCAATTAAAACGGTTTTCCAATAGAACGAAAGCACCTACAATCAATCAGATGAATGTTATAACTGAGCCATTAACAACTAACTTAGATACAGGAGTCTCCACAGTTAATTTAGTCAAAAAGTTCAAAAAGTTCGTTGCTGTTAATAATTTAAATGCAGAATTTTACAAAAACCATGTCACTGGTTTCTTGGGTCACAATGGTGCTGGTAAAACGACGACATTGTCTATAATAACAGGCTTATATGGTCCTTCAAGTGGTACAGTTTATGTTAATAACATGGACATAAAAACACAAATTAAAGAAATTCGAAAAATCATAAGTCTATGTCCTCAGCACAACATATTGTATGACGATCTCACTGTAATGGAACATCTTCTGTTTTATTCAATGCTGAAAGGATTACCAAAAAAGGAAATAAAAAGTGAATGCAACAGAATTTTGATGGATCTCAATTTGTTTGATAAGAGGGATGTGAATTCTTCATATCTGTCAGGAGGCATGAAGAGGAAGCTTTCTGTTGGCATAGCCTACATCGGGTCTCCAGACGTTGTAGTGCTGGATGAACCAACTGCCGGCGTCGATGCGTATGCCAGACGATCCATATGGGACCTTATTCAGAAATACAAAAAAAATCGAACGACGATACTCTCAACCCATTTGATGGACGAAGCTGATATACTCAGTGATAGGTTGATCATCATAAACAAGGGGCAGGTTCGTGCCTCTGGTTCAATAATGTTCCTTAAAAAACATTTTGGTAAAGGGTATCACCTAGATATAAGCTTTGATAAAAATTTCAATGATGAAATAGAACGACAAAAGGCTGTAGATAATTTCGAGAAGCTTCTTAAACAGTTTTTTCCAAATGCTTCTCTTGAAATATCTGTTCATGGATACGGTATATCTTGTATACTACCTTTTGCTCACAACGATATTTTTCATCAGTTCTTTAATGATCTACATTCTAAAAAGAAGGAATTACGTTTTTCTAATTATGGTCTTTCAAATATCACTTTGGAAAGAGTTTTTACTGAAGCCAACAAAAATATTAACTCTAAAGATAAGATGTCGGTAGAACAAAGTTTTAATTACAATTTTAACGTGTGTCCACCTTTCAAAACACTTAAAAATTTAAATTTAGTGTTTAATCAGTCTTCTGCTTTATTTGCAAAGAGACTTTATATCCTTAGGAGAAGCTTCAAATTAATGTTTTGTCAATTAATTCTTCCTCCAATTTTTTTGTTACTGATGTTGTTATTAACAGATTATGGATTCAAAATTTCAAGTGATATATCTGATATGGAACTTCATCCTTGGTTGACAAAATCTAAAGATTCAAATCTTGTTGTTTTTTTATCAAGAAATAAAAATTTGCACTGGGATGTAAAGCCAGTTGAAAATAGTTTACTGAACGAGCCATGGATGGGTAATAAATGTTTAGATCCCGCAGTACATACTTTGACTGATGAAAAATGTGATATCAAAACTTTAAAGACAAATTTATCTTTGTTTAGATCAATGAAGAATCCAAGGTTTAACGTTTCATGTAGTTGTACATCTGGTTATAAACGATGCTTCGATCAATTTTCTGGTAAACCACCTCCAGAATTAAAACTTATTAACGGGGATGTTTTTCAAAATCTTACAAATTACAATATTCAAAAATATTTAGTAGATACGCAACACAATTTTTCAGAAACAAGATTTGCAGGAATTGAATTTAGATCTAGAGGATCATTACATTTTTCATTTTCGGAAAAACTTTTGAATATTACTAAAAGCCTTATCTCATTGAGTGATCAAACACTTAGAGGATTAGATATATTCAACGTTTCAAATGTTTCGAGAGCTTTAATGAAAAATATAGAAACTATTGCTCCTAAATTTATAACTAATCATTTAGCAACAGTTTGGTTCAGTCACGAATCACCGGTATCTGTGGTTGCTTATACAAACGTACTTCACAACGCTCTTTTGAGATCACATTCAAAAGATGTCAGTCATAAAAAATTAGGATTGTCTGTTCATTTGCAGTCGATCAGTCGCAAGTCTAAAAAGTCAATCGTCAACAAGGCTTTAGAAGTATTTCCCCCTGTCACAATTTTATTTTCTTTGACTATTATACCTACTAGTTTTTTATTCTTTTTACTTAATGAAAAGAATAGCGGTTTAATTCATTTACAATTCATTAGTGGGGTTAATTCAACCTTGTATTGGTTAACTAATTTTATTTGGGACCTTTCAACGTTTTTACTTCTTTCCGCCGTATTTTTAATAGAATTTGTTATTTTTGATTGCAAAGAATACATATCTGCAGACAACTGCCCAACTTTCATTTTACTCTTGTTAAGTTACATTTGGGCTGTTATACCATTTACTTATTTTTTCTTCTGGATATTTACTGACCCTAACACTGCTTATATATTTCTCTCTAGTTTTTATTTTTTAATAGGATTCATTCCATTTATTATTACTTTTGTGTTGGATTTTATTGAAGATGGGAAAGATCGTAATGATTTCTACAAAGTACTTTTTAGCATTGTTCCACAATTTTCACTGACAAGAGGCTTGGTTGATTTGAACTACAATCAAATGAATTATGAAATTCAATCAACTTTATTGGGTGAACACAAAGTTGAATTTTTAAACCCACTTGCTCTGGATATGGTTGGCAAGTATATTGTAGCTCTTTTTGGTTTTGGATCGGTTTTTTTTATTTCTTTTTTCATTATTGAATGCATGTCTCATCAAAATGTTTTTTTAAAACGAAAGTTGAACATTCAAGTTTCTCAAAAAAGACCGATTAATAGTGATAAAGATGACGATGTTCTGCTTGAAGAAGAAAGAGTGCATAACAATCCTGGAGGCAGTAGTGTAGCTGTTTCTAACCTGGTTAAATCATTTGGACATAAATTATGCTTTTCTTTAAAAAGAGTTGATACAATAATGGCAGTCAATGATGTTTCGTTTGGAGTTTTAAATGAGGAATGTTTTGGTCTCCTTGGTATTAATGGAGCTGGAAAAACAACTTTGTTCAAAATTTTAACTGGAGACATACGACCAACATCTGGAAGTGTATACATGAAAGGTTCAAATGTTACCCAGAACATTAAAAAATCAAAAAATCTTTTTGGATACTGTCCTCAATTTGATTCTCTCTGTAATTTCATGAATGTTGAGGAGCATTTGGTTCATTTTTCCAGACTAAGAGGAGCTTCTTTAGAAGATGTAAAATTAATTTGCGACTGGGCATATTTCAATTTAAATTTGTTGGCTTACAAAAATACTCTTGCTAAGCATTTATCTGGTGGGAACAAGAGAAAATTATCTATAGCTTTGGCTTTAATTGGAAATCCTGATGTAGTTTACCTCGATGAACCTACCGCAGGAATCGATCCAAATGCCAGGAAATATGTTTGGGAATCAATTGTCGGCACTGTCAAGGCTGGCCACTCAGTAGTATTAACATCCCACAGTTTAGAAGAATGCGAATTTCTTTGCAACCGTTTGACGATCATGGTTTCAGGAGAGCTCAAATGCATTGGAACTATTCAACATCTCAAAAATAAATTCAATGAAGGGTACATGGTCGAGGTGAAGCTAGCAGAAGGTGATGAAAGCTACGGGCAATTCTTAGTGTACATTACCCAACATTTTCCTAAAGTTCAAATAAATGAACATCATTTGAATTTTGTTAAATTTTTATTGCCTCCAACTTACGATGATTTGTCTTCAATTTTCAATGTTTTAACCGAAGCCAAATCATCGTTATTGATTGTTGATTATGCTATTAATCAAACTAAACTTGAACAAATTTTCTGGAGTTTTGCGAAGCAAGCTAGAGTGTCCGTTTAATTTTTATATTTTTTTTTACTTACGGATGACAATATTTATTATATTAATTCATTTCAGTATTTCATATCATTATATACATTTTTTCAAATTCTTCATGTTTTGTTATTTTATAAATTACTGGTCAAAAATTTTATCTACAATTCAACTAATCGATTTATAATAATTTTTGTTTTGTACTTTTCAATGATGGACGCGTTAATAACTTGTTTTCATGCATGTATTATTCTTTACCTACTGGCTTTCAAGTGATTCCGGTAGCATATTTATAAATCGTGCATGATTCAAAGTAGGCTTTTATTTTTTAAGTTATTTACATTTCCTATTCCATTTTTCCTTGTTTTTCTTTCATTATTTTCATGTTGCTAAAGTTTCAGAGTTAAGGGTTATATGTAGGAAATGATACTTTCATGTCTAATTTGCGATTTATTCTAATGCATTAGTTTAACAAGAGTGTCATAGGTTTATTATTATTAATTAGTTAATAATAATTACTACTAATAATTGCTATCAATAATTAATTAATGAATTAATAAATAATAATTATTATTATTATTAATTAATGGTTATTTAAGGTTTCTGAGAGTTTAGCTGGCTAAAGCGAAAGAGCTGTATCTATTTTTCATACCTATCTTATCACTAAAACTAAATAGCCGTGATAAGATTTGCTTGTTTGTCTCATATGAACTGCTGTCTATTTATTGTTTTGCTATTCTACAAAAAATTTGACGTGCTAGTGTATGTAACATGCATTTTTAAAAATTGTGATCACTTGTGGATTAACTTTAAAAAATTGTGAAATTATATTTTTTGTCATTTTATTGCATTTCGTTGTTACGTTTGGCTAAATAATTTATTAAATTTGATATTATGTAGCAGACGTTTCATATTTATAGTGTTTTGACATTTGGTGTTATAAAAAGTTGGCCTTCGAAGGATTACCTACTCTTTTGACGAAAAGCTTATACTTTTCGTTTCGACATATTTTTTTATGCCTATATCGGTGTGATGAGTTTTTTTCATGTTTTGAAACTGTTTTATGATATTCTATATATATTTTGCTTGAATTCTATGGTCGGTACGTGTATGTGCAAAAATATGCATATGTTTACACACACGTACTCATGTGCACGCACACACACAAGCACAACAAGCATAACTTGTTGAAATTTTCATTCTAGCATTTTGGCGAAAAGAATCCATTTATATAGAATGATTTTTTCCAATCGTGACTATTTTATGCTTATATGGTTCAAAAGTTACGTTTTGTTTTTGATTTATTTTTCTTAAGAATTAAAACGTTATTTGTTTGTACGTTGAATTTAATTTTGATATTTTTGAAGTTGATTACAATTTATCCAATATTTATGCAAATGAATTTTATGCTAAAACATAATAATAACTGAATATATAGTTGAGAAATATCAAGCAGATTAGCAATTTTTATGTAGTAACTACCACTTCCAAATTTGTTTACAATGAACACTTTCTGAACCTTTGTAATCATAGGTAAAAACACAGTTAAAACACTAAATTAAGTAAGGATAGATAAGCGAATAATAGAGCAACTTCAAAATGTGGTTAGGAAATTTATGCTTCAGTTCATAGAGAGTAGCAAACCAAGAGAGATCCAAGGTAGCAATTAATCCCAGAAATTTTTCGAGAGGTACTTTGTTGATGGTGATGTCCTTGATTTCTAAAGCAAAATTAGTGACAATCTTAGGACCAAAGAAAACGCAGCAAGATTTGTTAGTATTTATAGAAAGATTATTGACCTTGATCCACTCAAAAATATTTTGTAGTTCAGATTTTAATAGGTTGATCAACGAAATTATGGTAGTACCACTAAGAAGAACCGTAGTGTCATCAGCGAACAGTACAAACTTTAAAATAAAAGAATTCACAAGATCATTTATAAAATATTGGAGGAGAAAACCAACGACTGAGCTAGGAGGATGCCTTTGCATAGAGGTAGTAAATCAGAAAGGACATTATCAAGTTGATCTTATTGATGACAGTTTGTGACAAAACTTTTGAACCAATTTAGAACTTGATCGCGAATACCACATCGTTCAAATTTATTGAAAATTGTGTCAAAAACATTGTGACAGTGTCAAAAACTTTGGAAAGGCCAATAATTATTTCTATAGTGATGAGTTTTTTCAGTTTTTTTCAGATATGTGATGAACAAAGTCAAGTGCAGCATGTTCTGCGTAAGATCCTGATTCGAAACAACAATAATTTATTCGGCATAAATCAGATATGCGCTGACCACCTTAAACTAGCAATACAGTAAACCAGATAAGAATCAGATGCTCATTCAAGAATTTGTTTAATCTGATTTGGACAATTTTTCCATAAATTTAGATTAAATTTGAGATTAAATTAATGTTGAGATAAAAGAATTAGGCTTGTAGTTGTTGATATACGTTCGTCGTAGAAATTAGTCCTTTAATCCATTCACGTTGGCATACAGCAGCCAATATGCTCACGGACTACATTCTAATAGTTTATGCTCCACTATGTTTTTTTTTACAAAAATACAACCTCAGTGTTATATGGGTGCTAGGCACCTGTGGCGCTTGATTCAATTTACCCGTTTTCTTCCTAAAAATGAACTCCAGATAATAAATAAATGTATTCAAAGAAATGCTTTTTTTGGTCACCCAGAAAATATTCTAACAGCAATGCTGCTGGATGACAGAGAAGAGATAAGAGAACTTGCAGCCGGACGAATTAAATGTGCAAGAAAAGCCACAGCACCTGGTGAAGGTAAAATCAGAAAATTTCAATGTCCTTCTCTTAACTTTGAGACTGCTGAATACTTTTGTCTTCTATTGTCTTCTAAATTGGCAAGACGTTCCAAGAACCTCGCCACCTATGCTACGAGATATAAGCAATGACAAAATTGAAGCAGCAATTAAAGTACCTTGGAAGTAGACACTAGAAAAATATCCTTGCCGTAATCAAAGCGTGGAACCACATGTAAAGTTGATAACCGAAGCATCATCGTCAGTCTGTGGTGCTCTGAGACGTGATGGATATATAAGAGCAAAATTAGAATTTGAAAGATTAACTGAAACTGATAATGTTATAATAGTAAATATATATTATAATATAATAAAAGTATATTATGTGCAAAAAACAGTGTCTTTTAATTATCAAATTTACCTGTATGTAACTGTATCACAAATGTAACTGTATCACTCCAATTATTGAAATTTTTTTTACAAAAAAAATTGTATATAAAAAAAAGTTTTTTTTACAAAAAAAAATAATTTTTTTTACAAAAAAAATAATTTGAAAACAATTCAACAAAATAATAAAATGCTAATCTTGGTTTTAATATTAAGCAAACAATTGGCATTGAACAGAAATACTGTTATGAGCTTATTTCAATGGCAAATGTAAGTTATTTTTCAAGGCCCTGCCGGCAAAGTTAAACGAAATTTTTTTTGTTTAATTTTATTCCAAATGTGATCCATATATGCTAGAGCAACTTTTTATTGCTATTCATAGTCGATAGTTTAAAAAAAGTTTTGGGACGACCTACCCTAATGTGTATGGTTTTTGTTATTCAATAATTAAAATTGAGCAAATTTTAAAATTGCTAACTTTTTTGAAAGTAATAAGTGCTGATTTTCAGAAGTAAACTGAGCCGTTAAGATATTTGGAAATGAACTAAAAGTATTGTTTGATAGAGAAAACTACTGATGACGTGCACGTGTGAAGTTGCAAAGTACATTGAAATACACAGGAATTGAAATACTGCACTTGACCTGGAAGATTTTTGACATTCCAGCTTTCGACAATCAGTAACCGTCCCTGTTTTTGGGTTTCTTGCATCAATTGCAATGAATGTGTAAGGTCAAGCACCCGTCATAAAACTGAATTTAATATTTTAGGTAAACTGCTGTATAAATATAACAAATAAATATCCTAGGTTTATACAGAGTGCTAAGCAGGCGGTATACTACGTAATAGCTTTAGATCAGATGGCGTAACGAGAATGTTTAAAAATTTTTTACAAAAAAGTAATAGAGATAAGATTTTTTTAATGACTAGCTTAAACGTATTTAACCGTTTAAACATAGCGTTTGATGTTTCAAAAAAACGAGAAATCTTAAGTAAGTATTTCAAATAAAAAGGTGTCAGATTAAGAGTTAAGTTGTAAACGTTAACACTGTGCACTGTTTTATCCGACTTGAAAAACAAACTTTAGAATGAAGCTATTGGCGAGGTCACATTATTGGCATTTGTGGTAGCATGTGTCAACGAAAAATTTGTTAAACCCAATTTGTTAAAATTTGTCTGTTCAATTAAATTTCGAGTTTCCGTTGTAAAAATAATTACGTTTCCTTTAGCTTGTTTGAATTTGTTATATAAAAATATGTTATAACAAGTACCAGCCTGACATTGGTATCTAATAATATTTTGATGCTTGCACCTGAATCGACTACGCGTAGTTGAAACGGCATCGGCGTTCCACAGATTTCATGTTCCCGTCAATCAAATAAATCGCCTTCATGGTCTCGCTTCTGGTTGCAATATTATATGAACAAGTGCAAGCGTTTCACTGACGTTGAGCAGCCAACCACAAGATTACATTTTTAATTTTCATTATTTGCTTATGTTTTAAAATTCTTAAGCTTTTAATGTTGCGAGTGAAGTGACCACATTTTAAACATCAGTTTCAATTAAAACTTACCTAGAGATTGCCTAGTTGTTTCAGTTTTGACCGTAGTATAAATAAATTATCTTGAAGTTTTGCTTTAGGATTATACAATATCAGCTTGTGTCGTGTCGTTTATTAAATATGTTCTATGGACGAACAAAGAGTTTGATTTTAAATATCGTATTTCCCGACCAAACGTTTGTTTTTAATTTTCCGAAGATGCTTGTTCACCGTTGTAGGTAGATAGACGAGCCAGCACACGAAGCAAGTCTTGATGTCTGCTGTAAAATACTGACTTAATTAACCGCTGCATCGCATTTTAGCCCACATTCACGGTTCACAACGGCCAGTTTTGTTCTTTCGTTCATCGGTGCGGTGGAATTGCTCTTCATTTTTTTTTGCGGTGCAGTGCCTAACGTTATGATGTCTATATATGCTCAGAGTAGAGATTTTTTGCAACAAGGTTATTAAAAAGTGAAATACTTGTCCCGTACAAACAAAGAGGCAGAACAATTTTACCACTAATTTATGAATTGTTTTTAAATAAACAGTTTCAACTGTAGGTCTTAGTTTTAAAACGTCGAAAATATAATACCATTTGCATTTATTTTTGGAATCATGTTTTGGAATTGAATTCTTAATAACAAGTAAAAAAAAACAAAAATAATTTTTTCCTATGCGTATAACTAAACCGTGTTCAAGGGCGGATGTAGGCAATTTTGATGGGAGGGATCAAAGTTTGACGGGGCGCCAAATAGTGGAAATACTTGTTAACTTATTTTTTGTTCATCGTACAATTTGTACTCAATTTTCCTATTTAAAGCGGTGTTTTCATTTACAAAAACTATGTTTCAATGTATAAAAAGTAATTAAACAATATATGTTGGCTGAATTAAAAAATTACGAAATGGATGTTGATTGTTGATGTGGTCTCCTCCTAAATCCGCAACAGACATGTTCGCAGGCCCCATCAAATAAAATAAGAGAGATTTTCTCACTGTGTTGAAGTAAATAAAGTAAAAACAGTTTTAGATACTTGTTGGTAAGCTTATTTACTGTTTTTATTATTCAAATAAAAAATTTTAAAGCTTTTATCAAAAATCGAAGTTCAAATAATATAGTTTTGAAAAAGAACAATTGATGGGATGTCTTCCTGTTACATTTGATTTATATAAGTATTATAACTTGGTTTGCACAATACAAACACTGGCAAAAATTAAAATCAGAATTATGTTGATGTGATTTTTTTCAAGTTATTTAAATTGTTATTAAAGAAGTTCAAAAGCGTGCTTCATAAAAATAAGATCGTTATATAAATTAGTTTCAAAACTTAATCGCCAAATGTACAAAAAGTTGCCAGCAAATAAAATGGGAACACGAAAAACGGAAGCAACAATTGCATTTATTAAATGATTAATAGTCTATGCTGCTGTGAAATATCCGCCATCATATTTCACGCATGGACGAACCTGCTAAACGCAACGTCATTAAAGAGATTTGCTCTGACGTGCAACTGCCGCATGTGCTCATATTTATCTGCCTGCCTCTACAAGAGTGCGCCTAACAATGTTGATTGTCCTTAAATGACACCCATTACAAAACATTCTTCTGCCTTCCCAATACGGTTGCGAATGTATGCCACACAGCATAGGTATACACCAGCTGTCAACTGGATCAGAACATTCAGTGCCTATTAGTTATTTAACAAGTCTACAAATACATTTTTTTAAATTGATCATATTTTTCAGCTATTTCTAAAAAAACAATTTTAAGCATTTAAAACTTTTAATATAACATCTCCAAAAAGCAAATTTGTTTACACCAGCAAGTGGTGTTGCTTTCACTAACGTACGTAAGTCACATCTGTTATGCAAGTCATATTAGGTATAGCTGAGATGCATTCAACGTGTCCTTTGTCCATGTTAGCGAATGATGGTCGATTCTACGTTGAAATAAAAAAAACAACCTTAAATACGCCTCGAGCAGCAAAAAATAAATGAAAATTTTTTTTTTTTTTTTTTTTAATGAATATTCAATAGCGGTGGGAGAAGGAATCAATTGATGGGATGTTGCATGCCATAAAGCAAAAGATGTAAGATAATATAAATACCGGTTTACATAACTTAAAGATTAGAAAGTTAGTGAATTGCTGCAATTAAAAACATTAACCTGCCACTGATTAATATAAACGAAAATTTAACAATTATATGATTATATTCTGATGTATTTATACAAAACATCACACGAACAAAATTTCGAATGTTTAATCTTAACGTTAACGATATGTCAAATTACAGGCCTATTAGCATTATACCTTGCCTCTCTAAATTATATGAAAAAATTATTTAACAAAAAATGGATATATACATTAAGGAAAATAATATTTTGAGCGATTGTCAATTTGGGTTTAGAAGTGGCTTATCTACAGAAGATGCCTTTCTTAAGTTTGTAAATGATATTAATTCATATCTAAATAATTCATCGTTGGCTCTCGCTGTCTTTGTCGATTTCTCAAAAGCCTTTGACTCAGTCGATCATCATCTATTGATTGATAAGGTCATAGGCTATGGTTTCAATGGTAATTTATCAGTTTTGTTGAAATCATATTTGGATTCCAGATATCAGTATGTTGATATTGCTGGAACTAATTCAAAAACAACTCTGGTTACAAGAGGTGTGCCGCAAGGTAGTATCCTTGGACCATTGTTGTTCTCGTTGTTTATTAATGATATTGTGCATATTCACAAGTGTCCTTCGGTTATATTTGCTGACGATTGCACTTTTTATACTAGTGAGACACATGTTGACTCACTAAGGGACTCAGCAACAAATCTTCTTAATGCATTATATAAATGGTCGTTATTAAATAGACTAAACATTAACCTTAAAAAAACTAAGTATATGATTTTTTCAAAAAATAAAAATATTCAATCTGACAATATGCAATTGGAAATAAATGGTAATTCACTGGAATTTGTAGATCAATTCAAGTTATTACGAGTTGTTATTGACTCTCGATTAAATTTCAAACACCATGTTAAAGCAGTCATTAGCAAAATTAATATAACTTTAGGCTTGGTTCATCGCATTAGCACATACTTAAACAATAACTCGAGGAAAGTCTTCTATTTCTCTTTTGTTCAAAGTCATTTGTTTTACTGCAATCTTATTTGGGGAAATGCAAATAAAACTTGTATACAGAAACTATTCGTTTGCCAAAAAAAATGTGTTAAAGCACTTTTTTATTCTAAAAGACCAAATGACATCCGTGATAATTTTCTGATAAATCGGCTTCTTTCTGTGTATGAAATAAATTGCTATAAGGCCTGCTGTTTCTTATTTAAAGTGATAAAGGGAATATCAACTAAGGGTGATATCGCATCGATTGTCTTAAATTCAATCCAGGTTCCAAGATCTACTAGAGTCATTAGTGAAGTCTCATTCAGGACATTAGTAGCTACTAACAAGCGAAGTTCCAGAATATTCTGTTTTTATGCGCCAAAATTATGGAATGATCTTCCCAATCATTTAAAAAAAATTGACACTTTTAATAAGTTTAAAAAACAATTGAAGGTTTTTTTTTGTTGTTTCTCATGATTTCATTTATTTTTCTTATTATTAATTAATTTTCCTTTTCTAATTTCGGGCTGACATTATTATTTTTCACGGTTTCTTATTTAATCTAATTAATTGTTCAATTTTCATTTTTTGTTTTCCAATATGACTGACATTATACTTTGGGCTATCATCTTAGTTAAGGTCACCATTAATATAGCATTCATTGCTAAGGTTGCACCTTTTTCTTTCATTATTTGATTGAAATAAACTTGTGAAAAAAAACGTTGACAAAAAAAAAACGTTATACCACACCACAATATTTTAACACATTCCACAAATATTAATAAATAAATAACTTTTGCGCAAGATTTTGTTACTTTAAATGGAAAGACCTTATTAGTCTCAAGCAAAAAAATAATCTAGCAATATTTTTTCACAGATAGTGAAAAAAAATTTAAAAAGTTAAATCTGTTGAAATGTAATTCATTTTATTAATCGTTGGTAAGAGAGTTTCACTTTCATAAGTTGATGGTATTATATTTATGCTTGCGAGTGATGTAATTTGGCTCTGCTAGCTCGAGCAGAATGCCTCAAAAGTTTTTTTAAATCTGATGAAAAGAATTGAACTCAATAAGTGAGAAAAAGAAGTGAGAAAAAGATTTTTAAATTTGTGACAAAATTATTATTTTTTTTTATTAATAAGGATTTAAAAATCCTTAGTGATAAAAAAATAATAATTTTTTTTAATAATAATAATAATAATCACAACGTTCTATGGCTTGAGTTATGGGTAATAATACAGTATGAATACATGAATAAATGAATACAGTACTTTACGACGATTACCAACACAATTATTACTACAATTAGATTTAGTTCTTTCGAAAAGTGGTTTTGGCTGAAGCGTTGATAATGGATAACCTATATCTCAAATTAGTTAATAATGGATTCCAATTGTTGCTTTTGTCCAACCTCCAAATTGTCCACAACTGATCTTGTCGTCATGATTAAATATTCCTGTAGTCCTTCAATACTGTGATCAGTCTTTCTGCTGCTCCCATACCTTCCAAAGTTGCTCACAATCCTTCGTGCCAGGCCGAGTCGACTGTTTCAATGAATTCGATAAAACAACTGTTAAAATATTTTGTACGCAAAATTTCGCACCGTCCATTAACAATATCAATATCAGAATTTGCTGGATTCTAATTCAATTTTTCTGCAACCTACCTGCTCTTCACTTTAATGTTGTTCTATATTTTTAGTCGCTATCGATTGGTAAGATTACAGTTTTTTAGGTTGCTTTTTTTGTAATACAATCAAGATTGACTTGCGCCATTTGCCTGCCTATTTTTTTTTATATAAAAGTTTCCAGACAAATTTTAAAAATTTCTTCAAGGCCAACTGGTCTTCAGTTTTTATCTCTACATTCATGGCTATCTAATTGGTTTTTTATCTAAGCTTCAAGCGTTTCTTTTGTCTACATGATTTGTAACACCATGTCGTCACAACTAGCCAATATTTTAAAATATTTAAAATAATTAGAGAATTGATATCAATTTATTAATTTTTATTTTATTAAAATTATTTAATTGCTTTAATTTAAAAACTGCTCGCTTGCAGTCTTCTCTATTTGCACAGAACACAAAATTAAAAGGCTGAAAATAACTGCTCCCATCAATTAATCCACCTTCCACCAATGAAATCCTGTTAAGCAGCACAAATGGAAACATGATGCCTCAAAAAAACTGCTATGTGATGACCATTCATGCAACAGTTGAACAAATAAGTTTGATGGTTGTGTGTTCATAGTGCCACCAAAGCAGTGTTTAAAATT